TTTTGATTGATTTCTTTCTACGAAATCTTTCTATATCTACACACCCACACCCACACCCACACCCACACCCACACCCACACCCACACCCCACACCCACACCCACACCCACACCCACACCCATATCTGTTGTTGATCGATTGCCGATAGATTGTCGACGAAAGCACAGTGTTTCTTTCCATAAACGTAACTGAGTATGAATATCAATTGTAGTTGTATCTCGTAGTTGATCTGATTTTGATTGAATATCAGTTGATATTTCGTCATTGTAAGAAATTATTATCTAGAAAAAAAATGAAGTAATGAGCAATATTCAGTTCTAATTTACTTGTTTGTATCGATCACGTTCAGCTGTTTCACCAATTTTTCGTTTAACTGGACGTCCAAATCCTGATCGTGAATATTTTAGCAAGTGTTCTTGAACAACAGTGTTGTTTCGATATTCAAAACGTTTACGTTTTAATTTTGTTTGCAAGGCATCTTTCCATATGGTCTATGTGAAAAAAAATAATGGTGCTTATACCTGTTAAGTGAACTTACGATATTTTGTTCTGTTAAAGGTAATTTAAGATATTTAACAATAGAATTACCAATATCATCAAATTGTTTATGGTTTGGATACCTAATTACAAGAAGAATTCAATGGTAAACTTTACAGTAAAATTATAGTTATTGAACAAGCTTTTGGCAAAAAGAATGTAGTCTTAATAGAGACTACTTTGCTCAAGAGTAGAATATGAAGTAATAAGAGAGTGAGAATTCTCGTCAAAGTGCGAAACTGTATAGAAATAAAAGTATTTTAATCAGACTAAAAGTTCCTTTAGTTTGATTGTTATACTATAATGTTCGATTTAATTTTTAGTACAAATTATATTCGTATATGTTTTGAACAGAATTATTTTTCATGAAAGCGTTTATTCCTTGGCTGTAAAACGTTTTTCCTCATAATTCTTCGGCTATATATATTAGAAATTAAGTAAAGTATATTTTGGATAACCCATTCAATGCAGTGAGAGATGAAATCGTCCGGATTTCTACAGTGAAAAAAGATCAGTATCATCAACAGAATTACATGTGATAGATGTTTGAGAAAGACTCGTGGAAAAAATGTAAATGATCGGCTGCTGATACATTAAAGAAAAAAAACAACGTGTTTATCTCTTTTCTCAACATAAGTTTGCGCAATTTGTTTTAAATCATAACTAACAAGAGATTATATTTTTCAATCAGGTCGTAAGCGACAGCATCAATAAGTATTTGTCGATTTGCACAATGTGGACCAAATTTTTCTACAATTCCGTTTTCAATATCTTTAATCAAGGCATTTGGTAATGGAGGAATTTTATAATTATCTGGAAAAGGTATAAAAATATCTGCATCAACACCATATTGATCAGATCTTGAATTTTCCATACGTTGATTTGATAAACAACCATTTGTTGGTGCAGGAACAAAAGATAATGATTGAGAATTAATTGAAACCATAGATGATGATTGAGAATCAATTGAAATCATAGATGATGATAGAGAATCGATTGAAACCACAGATGATGTTTGAACATTTGTCGATGCATTAGAGAATGAACCATCAAATTGAACAGAATAATCATCAATTTTTTTGAATAGTTTTTCACGTTCTTCCAAAAAGATCAACTGTTGTTTAAATTTAGGTATTAATGGTGATATTCGCTCAACACTGTTCATCATCTTGAGAGTTTTGCCATCAATATCATATTCTAAAAAAGAAATACAAACAATCGTATTCCAGTAAAATAATACTAAGAAAAAAATTTTCTTTATTCCAAAACTTCAACTAGGTAAATTCAGAAATCTAGTGTTAGTTACGTGTACTATTTCTACATCATTGCCTTCTTTTCTTTCTTTTCTCTCAGTGTCTCTTGATTAGTCATCTTTATGATCCATATATGATATATATATATAAGAATCGATTCCATTTATTTTAGTTAGTTGTTATTTTTCTCTCTCTCACCTGAATAAAAGATCGAGTCAGGAGTAATTAGCTTCATAAACCTAGACTAACAGCTCGAATAAGAATTTTTTATTTCTATCGTGCAAATGAGAAAATAAAAAGAGCACATTGAAATAGAAAAAATATCATAACTATGGCAAATATATAATGTTCCAAAACACAAGCACCAAAAATAATCATCTAATTTTATAGGCGATGAATCTTAGTCAATTTATTTCCCATTCTCGCACTAAAACCCTTTGGCATATTTCTTTATACTACCAGATTTAAAAGTTAAAAATACGATCTCGAATCAAAGGATGAAAATCTATATCGTCCACAGTCTTTATAAAATCGTATCTATCTGCACTTTGGTATTAATGTCTCACAAAAAGCATTTACTACACAAATACAAATTGAAAAGGATTAATGGAATTTTAACAACGAAATTATCAGAAAATTTATGAGGTGTGGGTTTTGGAACGTTTTATATTCAGTGTTCATTTAGAGATGTAAGTCGAGCAGTAAACGAAACAAAACTTGAGTTGTTCACTTGGTAAACATCTAATCCTTTATAATAATATTTTAATTGGCATGGATCAAGAATAACATAACGATCAATCGACTTTATTTCCCATGCGAATAATTCTTCATTGTACGAAATAGTATTAAGTATATCAGCGAATAGCCACCATTTCTCATCCATTTTAAGAATAAAAACAATTTGAGCAAAAACTGGCTGTTCATTGAGAGGTTCTACATTCATTACATATACAGCTGCCCGACAAAATTCAATGTTTTCATGTATCAATTTATTGCATTGATTTAAATTTTCCTCAAGATTGATACGACCAAAATGATTCATTAGCACATTTTTCATCAACATATTAAAACATGTGCTTCGAATTTTTTTGACTCCAACTAGATAATTGAGATTTTTCAATCGAGATAAATTGGCAAATTTAAAACATTGTTTAAGACAATAACGTGTTGCGAGCATCTTCGGAGTGTTTTTAAAATTATTTGTTCTCATTGTAATTTTTTTAAAATACGAATGACAAGCTTCGTATCTAAAGCACCATTGTTTTATTGCTGGACCATAATCATATATTATTCGTTCATATTCACGTACAAAATGAACTTTTGGTATCATGTTATTTGGAAAATGTGTTAACATCATTTGATGAAATGTATCACATAAATCCCCAAGCACAGGTAGCCATTGCTTTCTGAACGGGTATGACAGAACAAGATCTAAAATTTCACGCAGAACTTTGTAGACAATAAATGATGGTAAATGACAAATGATGTCATGAAAAATAATTGGAAATAATTTGAAAATGCATAACTTTTGAGCAGCCGTGGCAACAATTCGACCTTTTTGAAGATGTTTTACTTGAATCGGTGGTGGTCGATTACTGGTGTCAAAGCGACCATATTCGAAATTTTCCATTCGATATTGAATACGAGCTTAAAAGATGAGAGAAAAAAATAAATGCGTTACAGCACTAGACAATCATTGCTTCAAAAATATCAAGCTATGCTTTAGTGTGTTTTTTATACAAAAATTTATAATTATTAAAAAAGGGAATCAATTTTTATCAGTGATAGCTACGCATTACTAAATACATTTTCATTAGATTTAGTCATTTTAAATCTATCCTAAAGAATTTATTAAGTTGTCATTTTTCTCTGACTATTCAATGATTTCTAGAAGATAAGAAAATAAAATTACACGAAAAAAAAATGTAAATTCTATAAAAACTTTTTTATTGTGTCGGAAAGTTACATATCTATCGAAACATTCAACGTCCTTAATTGTCGTAATTCATTGAAATCGGAAACGAAAAGGTAAAATTCTTTGGGAAATTTATATCGAGACTATTTCTATATTTTTTCATTAAACTTTATATAAGTACGATAACTGGCCAGAGAAACATAATTAAGATTGATTTACATTCGACAATGTACAACTCATTTGATTATTATCAAGTTTCTTTATTAACAAGTGACTTAATTTGGCAAAAACAGAAGAAATAAATATTAGAATATTTTTAATTTCATCTTAAAAGGATCTATGAAAAAGTAGTGTGATAGAAATTCACATGATAACCCCAAATAAAGAATTATTTCTACCGTATGTTATGAGACGCATTGATGAAGCTTGTTTCAATAGAGACATTACAACAATCGGACAAATGCCTTCGATAAAGTCGTGCATTAAATCTCCGGGTAATGAGACCGTGGGATGAAAACCAATAAGATCATGCAACAGACTGTCACCAATCACACCCATCAAAGGAGATTTATTAGGATTATTGATGATTTCTTGGACAAAATTATCATGATCAACTATCGTTCGAATTTTAATTTTTGATAATGGAATTGGTAAGTTTCTGTCCGCATAGGTGACGTAACATCGTCGACAAAAATTTTCATTATTAAAACATGATTGAAAACCGCCGACCAAATGTGCAGCAAGATTGTCGGCAACAACAGTAGAAAATGAGAATTTATGATGAATACCATTAATTACAAGACCATGAATTTGTAATTTATTTAAATTATCGATAATAGGTTGAAAGAAGCGTTCAGCCTTGATTTTGTCCTCGAAAAAAGTAAAATACAAGATATGGTAGATTTCTTATGATATGATGTCGTTTTTTAAACGAAATTCATCAAATTAAGATTCTATCCAACGTGTATTAGGTAGACGAAAAAAAAGAAATTTGTTTTTTTTTCAACAGAAAATGAATAGAATATATTCTAAGATGCAATGTATTTTATTTTGTTTCGGAACTATTGAAAAATTTCCTAGTGACAAATCTTTTATTTATTACTCGAATTTATAGTAAGAGTTTTTACCTTTAGAACTTTACTTTCACAAATGCCAATTAACTGAATAAAATCAATTTTTGATCGATGATGATCAGGGATATCTTCAAGAGAGAAGTAAACCATACACATTTTATGTTCATCACGTTTTGAACCGATAGGATTGGTCAATCCAATGTCATCTAAGTACAATTGAATTAATAAACTATCATGATCTAATTTATTGCCATGGTATCCATCTCGAATCGAGAACATCAAATCATTATCGTATTCAGTTAATGTTTGCTGTTGGTAAATATTTTCATGAATTTGGTCAACAAGCGGTTGAGAATCCAGCATTGATAGCAATGTTCTCTCAATCGGAACAAAATAACCACGTTCTGGAACTTCACCAACAGAAGATACAACAATTTCTTCAGGAGAAGTATACCCAAAATATTTTTCAGAGTGTTTTATAAATTGGTACTCATTTTTAGTAATCGATTCAATCGCGTTGCATATGTCATTGAGGGTATGTTTTAATTGATGAAATTCAATAGTTTTTTTATTTTCTTTTCGAGAAGATGGAGATGTAAATGAATAACTATCGGCAGAATAATTAAATGCTTTTTTTTCAAGTAAAATTTCTATATTTTGCATTAATGTTATAATATAAGTAGAAATAGTACTTGTGATATTTTTCGGTAGTAAAAATTCTTCACGTAATTGTAGGATAAATAAAACATATGATCTTTTAATGTCCATCATTGATACAAATGGTGTCTCATCACTAGCAGTTGTACTAGGTGATAAAACGGAGTTATAAAATTCTGTTTCATAATCATCTTTTAATAACATAGATTCTAGATCATCATTAACAAAATCTAATGCATCATCGTTATCACTGTTAGTTAAATCAGATTCAACAAGCAAATCAATATTTTCTTGCTGCTGACCAATGGCGAGAATTGTATTTATGTTGTTGTTGTCTTTTTCTGCTGAATGAAGTTCAGATAAATGTTGTCGATAGATATGAGATTTTTATGCTGAATATGTTCGATACAAAACACCACATGTATTATGTAAATCACAAGTGATTTCGAAGTTGGATTCATTTTGATGATAAACTGTTATATGTCGGAACATTTTAGCAAGACTGACGAAATCTCGATTCGTCAAACAAAGCGGACAAGTGAAAGACGACATGAAACTTTGAGATAAAACACAATAGATCAAAATAAAATATCTTATTAGGTTTATATTTACTAATTTAATGATTATAGTTTATATATAGTTGTGTACTTAACAATTATTTTTAGAACGAGATAAATGAATAGGCAATGAATAAGTGTTATAAAGAAATGAATTACACACACCATAAACTATTCAATTCTTTCTTTAACGTAAACGCACACGTCTACTTTACTGGAAAAATCATAAGAGAAAGATTAATCTGGAAGAAAGTAAACAAACATTTCTGTCAGTATTATATCAAGCATGAATTTCTAACGCACATTACATGGTATCGGGTATAAATAGATACCTAGAAACAACTTCAACTAGTCAAGAAAAAACATGCACTTCTTTTACAGATAAAAACAGACTGACCTTCAAATCGAGATAAAATAGAATCATCATCAATAAATGATTTACACCATTGAATAACTTGTGCACAAGACCACTCCATTGTTCGATAATCGAATTATCTAAAATTCTAGAGAAAAATTTTCTTCATAACTATACCCAGGAAGTACTATTGCCAGAATATCAGAAGATATACAAGCAGTATTTTCATTAGAAATCTAAAATAAAAAGTCAAATGTTTTTGATTTGACCGTCAGTAAGCAAAATGACTCTCTGTTTTTTTAAAAGAGTGCCACAGTGTGACCTAAGAGCGGACTATTGGAGTTAAACAGAAACAAACGTTTTCATATACATTTATTAACACGCAGTTCAACTTAAAAATATTCAAAATAATATCTGATAATTACATAAATACATAAATATTCCATCTAAAAGTTTTTATATTATTGAGAAAAAAAAATAAAACAAATATAAAGAAAATCTTCTATACTATGTATCAAGCCGAAAAAACACAACTTGATATTTGATCACTCAATCGAATCTTCATCGAAGTCATTATCAAGTTTTGTATTGCTAGTTCTTGTTTAGAGACTTATTTTTATTTTCCAGCAAAACATTGGTGCTAGCTGCTATTTAACAAATATTTTCTTTTACTAAAACATCGAAAGAATATATATATATATATATTATTTATTAACCATATCGCTCCCCATTTGCAATTTTTTTTGTTTCCCACTTTTTTTCACATAAAAAGCTACGTGTTACGTTATCTTCAAGAGAAAACCAGCAGATAACATTTTCACGTTGTAGCTGCCCTAATTAATTAAATAAATAACTTTTATACATACATTCTGGTTACTTATACCAAGAAGAAAAATATTTACGATGAGCTGCTGAATGAGATTATTTTTTCTTGGTTTATGAAAACTTTCAACTTTAGTGGTAGAAGAAGTTTGTTGATTGTCAATAGTATTTTAGCTTGAATACGAGGATTCAGTCAAAACAAGTTCAATTTCTGTTACTATTTCGTTCATTATATAGGATAAAAGAAATTTGGAGTTGCATAATGATAAACAAGAGTTTTCTTGTTGACTTTCATGGAGAATCAAAATATTCGTTCATACGTTTTGACTTCTACTCCAAATTTTAATTATTTGCACTTGTTTTCGATTCGTTTGATCTAAAACCAAATAGTCAAATAAACTTTCAGATACATTAAACAAATGCTTCTTTACTTCTTTAAGAATTATCATCATATAAATGTAAACAAATTAATTGTTAAAAGTTCCTTCGCAGTGAAAAATTTTCATGGTATAATCCGAATTATTTTGCACCAAAATCATAATTGAAATCAATTGGAATCTTCAGTTATAATCAACTATGATTGAATCAAGACGTGATCTCATTGCTTGTACAGTGAAAGTTTTCTTGATTAAAATCTGATTATTCTGCAGCGAAATCGAAATCATCAAAGTTTTGTAATTATGATTTTGCTGTAGAATAATCAGATTTTAATCAAAACAAAATTCACTGTACAAGCAATAGGATCAAGTTTTGATTCATTCATAATCGATTATAACCGAAGATTCCAATTGATTTCAATTATGATTTTGGTGCAAAATACTTCGGATTGTATCATGAAAATTTTTCACTGGATTGAAAATCATAAAGATAAAACGAAGACAAAAAGAATATCAAAATCATGTACTGTAAAGATTGATCGATAAGTGACGATAGATCCAGCGTTAAAATGAATGAAACTATTACTCTGGAGATGTCAGAGTTAAAACCAAGCTGAAATAATAACAGAATAAAGAATTCAAAGTATCTAAAAGAAAAAAAAACAAAGTGTCGATATTCGCCAGTAAGTGTCAATTTGGCACTGTGGTTTTTGGAGTTTGAAGAAAAATAGAGTGTCAGCTAATAATTTTAAGAGTCATAGATCCTGTTTCACAACAGTGAACATTGCTATTAAAAACGCTGCATATATCTCCACACAACACAATATTAGTACGCTTGCTGATGATATAAAACAATGCAAGAAACACCAATCAATGTCGAAATGCACTGTTGAAAAAAGTGTTTCTATCCCAAATAATTTTATGATAGAAATTAATAAGAATCGATGCTCTGTCAAACTGTGTATTTATTTTTCGAAAAAATGAGTCTCATTCGACAGATGGCGCTAAACTGCGGTAGCTGTTTAAATTGAATTATATATTAATTGTTCATCATTTTTATCTACTCACAAAATATTTTCTTAATGTGCTGAACTTTTGACAAAATAAAACCATATGTTAGCTCTGTTTGATTGTGATTTTTTTATTTTTTATTTAATCATCGAGCAGATAAAATAATTTGTTTCTTAACGTAGAACAATAAACTTTTCTATCGAAATAGTACAAGGATCAACTCCTATAAGTAGAATAATAAACTCTTCGACGGTAAAGGCAGAGGAAACAACCTTTTTCGGTAGAATAATAGAACCCTCCAATAAAAGGGTATAAGGATCAACCGCTTTATGGAGAATAATAAACCTTCTCATCGAAAGAGTACAAAGATCAACTCCTATACGTAGAATAATAAACTCTTCGACGAAAAAGGTAGAAGAAAGAAGCTTTTTCGGTAGAATCGTAGAACCCTTCACTAAAAGGGTACAAGGATCAACGGCTTTACGTTGAGTAATAAACTTTTCCAACCAAAAAGTAGAAGAATCTACCCTTAGACATAGAATAATGAACCTTTTTAAGCAGAGGTGGTAGAAGAATCAACCCCTTTACGGAGAGTAATAAACCCTTCCCATTGAAACAGTGCAAGGATCAGCTCCTATAAGTAGAATAATAAACTCTTCGGTGGTAAAGGTAGAAGAAACAACATTTTTCGGTAGAACAATAGAACCCTTCCATAAAAGGGTACAAGAATCAACCCCTCATGTTGAGTAATAAACCTTTTTAACCAAGAAGTAGAAGAATCTACCCTTAGGCATAGAATAATAAACTATTTCTCGGAAGGGTAGCATACTCTTCCCAGAAAGGCACAATAATATACCCTCTTAAAGAAGACGTAGAATAATAAATCCCAAAGAGAATAATAAAATACTCTTACCATGAAAGCGGACAATGATCTACGATCATCCGTTGAAGAACATACTCTTAACTTGAAATCGTAGAATAAGAAACCTTTGCATACCCATCAAATACCCATTGAGTTTTCATAAACCCATAGCCCGATAAATGCTTCGACTCATAAACCCTTAAAGGGTTCATCACATTGGGATAAACCCTTCAAAGGTTTATTAGCAATTTTTTTAAGTGCAGGGGTAGATTACTATCCGGATTTTTTTTTCAGTGTAGTGATACTTTGAGCTACTTTGAGCTGCTTTAAGCTACTTTGAGCTACTTTGAGCTACTTTCAACTACTTTCAACTACTTTAAACTAATTTGAGTTACTTCGGTTACTTTGAACTACTTGAAGAAACTTTGAATTACTTGAAGGTTCAGTGATATGCATTGATAGGTAAATATTCAATGTTATCACTTTATCTCTTTCAGTTTATTGCTAACTATAAACACAATATTGAAAATATCAATAATACAGGGTAAGGGCAAAGCGTATAAAAAGCAGTGGTTTTATTATAGGAAGAAAATAATTAGCATAAATTGCACAGCGGCACTATCATGAATCATAACATTGCTTTTGATGGTTAAAACTTTTGTACTTAAGTCAGTCGTTTTCTAAGCGGTTAGATTTCAACCAAAGATAATATATTCTGGTGAGCGTGCTCTTTGCATTATTTACTATTATTTATGATTCTTGTCAAACAGATATTACTTTACATTTTAGTGTAAAGTAACATAAAAATTTCAGATACTTTGGACGTTTGGTTACATAAAGAACATGACAGTTTTGTAATTATTATCATATCATGGAAAACTTTAGTAGTCTACACTACTCTATCCTTGGACAATCATAATTTGTCAGGATATAATCTGATGGTGCAAACACTGTAAAAAAAAAGGTACTTTACCGAACCTTGAAAAAAGGTTCGGTAGATGACGAAAAGCGTGCAAATGCGTTCAAAGTTTCAAAAATAGAATAAAAAAATCCACGGAACCTTTAAAGGATCTTACCGTGTACCCAAGTGAAGATTCTTTTTTCTTTGAAACCTTTTTAAGTTCCGTAAAGAAAAAAATAGGTTTTGTAGGAAAATACGGAACCTTTAGGCTTTCGCAATAAATATAATGGTTTTACACAAAACCCAGTGCGAAACCTTGAGGTTTAATACAAACCCTAAAGGTTCCGTAGTTTCCTACAAAACCTATTTTTCTCTCTACGGAACTTAAAAAGGTTTCGAAGAAAAAAGGATCTTCACTTGGGTACATGGTAAGATCCTTTAAAGGTTCCGTGGATTTTTTTATTCTATTTTTGAAACTTTGAACGCATTTGCACGCTTTTCGTCATCTACCGAACCTTTTTTCAAGGTTCGGTAAAGTACCTTTTTTTTTACAGTGTTTGCACCATCAGATTATATCCTGACAAATTATGATTGTCCAAGGATA